TAAGGAAATGCTTCTGACTGTCACATAGAGTAAATGTTTCATTGCATGTAGCTCAACCACACACGGCCAATACAGTTTTCTGTTCATAGTACACCAAACTATAATGGTGTAAAGACATTCCTCTTCTCCAGGCGATACTAAACACATTCAGTGATTTGACAGATATGATAGTGTGATAAATAAGTGCTCCCACTTATACTTAGAATTTATGAATCCCCTGAACCAATGGTAAAGCATCTATTAGTATCTTATGTATCTAATTTTCCACATTTTAGGCGTCGCTCAGCAAGATATATCTCCTGTGCATCTGATCTACATACTATGACCATACATCAATGGAATTTGTGCCTTGATTTGACCATATATGGGATTATGGGATGTGAATAATCCCTTGTTAAATTTTGCAATACCTTGATGAATGTCGATTATGTAGTCAGAGAGTCTGAGACTGTTAGTTGACCATTCCACATTTTTACTGATTTGATGAGAAAGCGATGACATTTGACTGTTTGATACAGTGCCATTGTTGTTGAAAAGCGATTTTTATGTTATAGTTTGTTTACTGAGTTGTGGAAAAAATTGAATTATCAGATTTTCTTTAAAAAATACTGTATTACAATTTATGTATGGGCCATTTTATGCCATTTCCTATCTTTCCTATCATTTACAAGACAAAGGACATTGAAATTATACTCTTATAAACTAACAACCCTATTACAGACTGGAAATCCCCTAGCAGTGTCTGATATGGGCAGCACATCAACTCTAAAAATAAGGACAACTTAAAGGGTTTTAGTTCAAGAGAAATTTAAATAAAAGCAATCTCATTGGCCCTCTGAGCCGCAGAGTGGAATAACGATTCAGGTGCTGGCCGGTATCGCTGGACATGAGCTCGTGTTCCTCTGTCCCCAGCAGGCACGTGGCTGAGATGAGCTGGTGCTGCCAGGCTCTGCTGGCTGAACCTCGTGCTTGTTCCTGATACGCCACCACATGGGCATCTCCTCATCTACATGTGCTCGCCCCCTGCTATGCACTAGTGCCACAACTGCCGTTTGTATATCCAACAGACACAAGAAGAGATAAAAAAAAAAGTCTTTGCGGACGAAGTGGTTTGGGTTTTCTAAAACTTAAGCAGTTATATTAGTATCCAGTCTCCTACAGTAACATTGAACAGTCAGAAAAGCTAATCATTGTTCACCCTCCCACCTGTTCAAACATTTCAAATGTCACCTGAGTCCAGGAACTCAGAATGGGACATTTTCCTCTCATGCCCCGTTTAGGGCTGATTTGTTACGTAACAGAACTCACTTTGGGCAGCACAGCAGTGAAAGGAGCAAAGGTGACCCTCCTGGCGCTCAGTATAAATGATCATATTGCATTTTCTTAGACTGATAGGGATCAGTATCTAGCATCAATAAAAAAAACAACAAGGACTACCAAAAAGTTGATGCAGATGTCGTTACCTACTAAAGTACGTTCACAATAGCTAAAGTTTGAAAAAAGTGTATGTTTTCATGTACTGCCGTTCCATGCACCGGCTCGCTTCTGACTCTCTCTCTCTCTCTAAGGCTCTGAAGTGCCCACGTTCAGAGTAAAGGGTGTGCAACATGAGCTGCTGGGCTTGCCACAACGAGCCAATGGGCTTAGATCAGTGATATCACACTGACAAGACGTCACACTGGCAAATTTTATTTGAGGGGGGCTAGAACCGAGCGTTACATGCAGCTAATGCGACAGCTAACCGGAGGAAGTAGGAGAAGCCGCATTTCCGCGGACTTTGAATTTTTGCAAATAGATGTGCCTAAGCATGCACAGGATACATGGAAAACACACTAAAGAGCATATAAAACCAGAAAAAGCATAATATGGGACCTTTAATGGTTTTTCAGCCTTTATTCTGTTTATCCACAACCTTTACTTGTGACAATCTTACAATCACAATCACCACAGCTTGTACCAAGTTTAATACCTTTGTGTAGTATGTCCAAATAAAATCACACATATATACATATATAGCAAAGTCCAACACCCAGTCTTATCTCACATGAATCATTCTTGTTGTTTATCCTTGTTTGATCCATACTTCTCTTGACTTTCAATGACCCAAACATTGAAAGATCTGTAAGCACTACTCCTTGAAGAAAAACATATTCTAGTCTGTTCCCGTAAGGATTTGTTTTCTCTCAGCATAAGGCACAAAATGTGTGGAGTCTCCAACAAGCTGTCTTCTTCTTCTTCATCATCTTGAGGAACGTGTTTAGTCTCACATACACCTAATCTCTCCAGCCTGCTATTTTCCCCATCCCCAGATAAAATTACACAGCAGAAATAGTACCAGCGATGTATCTGTTTAAAGACTCACGTGGTGGCTGGTCTGATTTTACTAATGGTTTTTACACCATGATACTTTAATTTACTTGGTGATGCTATACTCACTGTAATTTGTTTATAATATTAAGGAACTAGGCATTTCCATGAAATACATGTAATTATTGTTGCTGTAAGGCTTCATAATAGGAGACTTTGTTCTATGTATTTCTTAAAACTGTATGATTGACTGCAGAAAATGTCACTTATTATGTACTGATCAAAAGGCTAAAATGCAGATCAACAAACTGTACATTCATTTCCAGAAAGAATTTATAAAACGATTCAAATATTGCCCTTTAATGACCCTTACACCCTTTTTGTGCTTTAACGCTTTGTTTGTGGGATGTTTTTCTTTATCCAACATGCAAAATGTCCTCAAAAGGCTATCTCAATCTTTGCAACATTGTTTTAAAGAAGTCTCTTTGACCTGTTCTGATTTGGAGCAAATTATTCAAATATAAAACACCTATTTTAAAGGGAATTGCAGCATCATAGATATGTTTTTATCAGTAAATCAGAATACAGTTATCAGTGTGAATTTTCTTTTAACACTGTTCTAAGGAAGTGCTTTTATAGATGTTGAGGTTCATGGTTAGTTTTAATTTCCTTAAATGTCCAATGTTTAGGACAAATGTGTCCCAGTTTAAATTTCACTCCCTTCATCTGTCCTTTTGGTATTCCTCTCTGGTGCCATGTAATTAAAATGTTAAAAAACTAAGTTATTACATTTTTTAATACCTTTCAATGAGAGAACATGTGATGCCAGAGACAATTTACTACCATTAATGGAGATACAGTCCCAAACATTACACATTTTTATGATGATCTAGTGTCTGGTAACATATGTACAGAACTAAAAACAGTCATCATGTTGCTTCAAATATGTAAACATCATGAGACTGAATGATGAGCCCTTTGCTCTATTTACTGTAAATGGAGAGGCTACAGGCTCATCTGAAGTTTTCTTCTTGTTCATGAACATTTCATTTTCTTCTCCTGAGCAGTGCCACAACAGGGGAATACAAAACTGTATTCTATTCTTTGTAATTAGTTGAAGAATTTCTTCAGGTGTAGCTATAAACCTGCATGTTTATCACTTTAAATCAAACTGCAATAAGCTTAAGGTTTAAATGACAAGCACATTTCACATTTCTTCTGCTCAGTGTCACTCAAAGCGATCATTATACAAGCGCTAGTGTTGCAACAGAAATTATTGACATTAGTGGCTTTTACGTTTGTGGTTAAGTTGAGGGCAATGTTAACTTTGTGCAAATAAAATGACTCACTAGATTATGCAATGGAAGGTCTTCACTGAGGTAAACTTACCTTTTTTTCTACTTTAAACGAAATTGGGATCCAGATTTTGACACCTGGAATTTTGTATAGGTTAAATAAATAGATCATTTTTTACCTGGAAACTGTGTTCAGGGTATTAAGTGTGTTGTTTCTATCCTTCTGAAGTGCATGGTATCAATGGCCCGCTATAACTGTACAGTGTGAATAGCAGTAATGTGCTCTTCTGGCTGAGACGACACTGTGAACACAATTGAGCTGCTGTACATTTGTTCAGAGGAAGAAGCCAACAATACACTATTGTCTCCCTGAGTTCACACTGTGAAACGGAGAGGAGGATTACATTCTGTCACTCGGGTCATTAGAGGCAATGGCAGGTCATAATTAGTTCCTAATTAATTAGTATGATAACAGTTTTGTACAAAGAAATGTTAACTTCATTGTTTTACAATGAGATTAACTTTCTTCAACCTCAACAAAAAACCCCATACTCTATTAGGAAACATGGTGTTGAAATGTATCAGTACAGAACTGCAGTAATAACTGTTTTGAAAAGAGCTTTCTCTGTAATCTCAGTCCTATTGTTGTGAGTGATTTAGAATGTTGTGTTTTATTTCTGTCATGAAGAGCAGTATGAGACTCAACAGGCTTGTAACATTGACCCCACCAAAGACAAGAGCATCCAAAAGTTAAAAAGAAAAGTCAACTTGGTCAGACCTTGACCTCTAGCCTTATTTACTTTGGTCATGACTAAGGTTCTGGAAAACAGAAGTATTTTCTATGTTTTCCAGTATTGTGCCTCATCTTGTGATCATTAAGGGTTTTGGTGTATCTTTTTTTGGAAGTTTTAGTAAATGAAGCGAGTGAGTGAATGACGTCCGGTTGTTGAATGCTGTCAGATGTGTCAGCAGTAGAACTGAGCTACGCAGTTTTTGGTAAAGTCATGTAATATGAGTTTTAATGACTCCTGTCATTGACTACAACAAATATACCTCCAATGTTAGCCTAATAAATTTTCCTCAACAGGACTGTGTGAGTGTGCTAATTTGATTGACAGTGATGTGGAATCATAGACAAACAATCCCTCAGGAGATTGCCAGATTCAGTCTGGTTCACATTCATTTGAGACTTAAAGGTTTTTTTTCCAAAATGCTCCCAACTCGATCAAATACACAATACGTATCTTTATTGTTCAATGATATAAGTAAGAAATTAAAAACTGAAAGACATTTTCCGAGCTTTAACACATTAAGAGTCTAATGCACATGTTCAATAGTGTGTACACTTTAATCACTGAGCAGTGTTTCTCATACTTGTTCTTTCTCCTCCTGCCCTAGATATTCAACACATTGAGTGACAACAACGTTTCATCTTCAAAAATCACAAATAAGACAAAAGAGAGTCCATTACACTTTGGATGATGGATTCTTCTCAGTCAGAGATGAACATCTTATCCAATGGGAAAAGTCATGACCTCGGAGATGACTTGGGTGTGCCGATGAAGACGTTTCCAGAGGAAGACCAGTAAGTATCCTCCTTTTACTTTAATCATGAATGAATAGCTGCCCTTTGACTCTTACATACCGGTAATGATATTTTAACACAGCATGTATAAAGCACTGTTCAAAGTCAGTCTTTTTGTCTTTCTGTATTACATGAGTGAAAAAAACATCCTTTGTTTGCTTTAAATAAATGTGCTGACTTTAACTTCAAAACAGCTAAAACACACTTGTGCAATGTTTGATTTCTATACATCTCCTTATGTCTCATGTTTCTAATTAATAATGTATAGGATAACGGATTTGGTAAGCAATATAAAGTGTGACTTATTTCCTGCATCTCCCCTTTTTAAATGCATGTTTACCTTGCCTTTTGCTAACCTCAACCGGTGGATCCTTTTACAGAAATGGCACTCAAACAGTCAGGTATGTCTGTGAAAATATGTCTCAAAGAGTTTACAGTGTTCATGCATATAATAATACAAAAAGAGTTGGCAATTTTGAACTAATATTTATATTAATATGTTCATGAAGTATAAAGAGTTCATAAATTAACCAACACAAATTTGCCAACTAGATTTGATGATCCTGAGGGAGGACTGGAGAATGAAGAATTTCTGCCCACTGCAGATGGAAAGAAACCTATACGCTTCACAGATGTAAGAGCAAAAGTTAACAAAACACAACATAATTATTTTTCATTTCATTTCCAACCTTAATTCAAGCCTTGAAGATCATTGAGGGATCCCTCATTTTCAAATTTCTTGAACATACTTTTTGTATTGCTAGCTTTCAGTTGTTCTTTAAGGCTGATAAGTGCAATCTGAGGAGCAAGAAAAGAAAGTTGTATGATGCCATACAAAGTCAACTGCATGCCGTACAAAGTCTTCAAAACAAAACATAATTATATCATCTGCAAAAAGATGGATACTACACGAATGAAGACTATTGGCATTAATTACAAATGAGAAAGTGCCCAGTGAGTATCCTTGTGGAACGCCTTTTGTTTGTGGTAAATTCCCTATATAATTATAGGGAAAAAATATACCAGATATATGTATTTCCAAATTTGACTCACTGAAATGAAACCATGAACAGGCAAATAAATATAACAAAGTGATTGAAAATCCTTGGTCAGTTAAGTTTTGTAAGATTGTGTAAAAACATTTTATTTTTGTCAAATTAAATGTATACTTGTTTTTGTCCCCTTAGTTTGAAGGAAAGACCTCCTTTGGGATGTCTGTCTTCAACCTTGGTAATGCTATTATGGGCAGTGGAATCCTGGGATTGGCTTATGCAATGGCCAACACTGGCATACTTCTATTCTGGTGGGTAACTAAACACATTTATCCAGTGTGTGCCTTTTCAAAAATATCTGCTAGAATCCCCCTACTTATCAACGTAAACAACAACACTTATTTTAATGGCAGCAGTTTGTAATCATATCAAAACGTTTCTGTTGACCTATTCATATAGATGAAATATATATAAATATTAATGAGGTACTATGGAGTCCTGAGACTCTCTAGACAGTTAAGTGGTGGGTTGCTTTGGTGGTTCAATGAAAGGCCAGGGTGTTTCGGGCTACTTAGTATCTGTAGAGGGATTTAGTATCTGTCATGACATTTGATCTGTCATGACATGTCGTCCCTTGATAGTCCCCCTTTGACGCCCTGGCTGCCATGTACAGATCCCTGAAAGGCCATAGCCCAGTATAACTGAGCTTCCAGACCTTGTGTGAGGTATCTGGATTGCTCATCTATTTCTTCCTGCTCCTTGCAGAAAGCTGTTGTCAGACCATGACCATGGTTGTTCTGGTTGTGTAGTCTGTGTTTGTGTAGCTGCTCAGAGCAAGTAGCGAGACTGGAAAAGTGAAAGACCCAAAGGTCAGTCTCAACGGTGAAAATAGGAAGCCAGTTCAATGCTGAAGATTTCAAAGAACGAGTACATCCAATGAAGGAGGCTGAATGCCATTTCATGTGTAGTTGTTAGTATTTGGGTCAGTGGAGTTTTAACTATATATAGCAGGCCACTGGTTTGATGGATCTTCTGATTTGGAGATGAGCTGGTCTGCATCTAAACCAAATGTTAACTTGTAACACCTTTCCTATCGAATCTTGTTAAACTATCATATTAGCTAGGAATAAGTTAAATGCTAACAGTAGCTGTCCGGATGGTAGCAAATAAATTATCATAGGCTATAGTGTTGTCAAATAAACTTCCCTTATTGTGACTCTGGTGGGGATTGTAGCCTGTATTGTCAGGAGAAATCTTGATCCACCAGTAGGGATACAGATAGACATTCTCAGTCCTCGTCAGCATATTTCAAGTTAGACACAGGAATAGGGCAGGCATGGAAAGCCTGGCGCCCTCCAGAATGCTTTACCAAGCCATCAGGATTAAGCGAAGGATATTTTTGTGTATATGTAAATTATTATTTCCAAAGTATACAATGAAAACATATCAAATGAATGCCTTGTTAGTTGTTTGTTGAGTGGAATACCAAGATTTGGCCTCCATCCATCCCTCCGCTCACGGACATTGGGTGGAGATGGAGGGATGGATAGATTTGGGATCAAACTTTGACCTAATAAGAATGCTGACCTCAGATCACTGAGCGAACTTGTTCAAGACTTTTTGTCTGCGTAGGATGACAAAACTCTCTGTCAAAAAAAGGTTGTGGGAAATACACGTTTGATCCATGTGTGGGACAATTGATTTCTTTCAAAGGAAAACATGTTTATTGTATTACTGTATAAAAAGACCTATTATTCAAACGTGTTTCATGCTGAATATTTGTTTTTGCTACTTGCGAATACAATTAGCATTTTGAATCAATGGACCACATCAATTTTAAATATGGTAGAAAAGTAATGTGGTGGGAATTCAGCTGCTTGCCAAAGCAGATCAACTTCACAGGCTTAATGAATAGGTTTGTCTGTCTTAAACAAAATGTCAGATCAGATGATTAATTTTGTAGAATTTTTGTGTTAACATCTTGGCACATGCCATCACAACCTAATGCAACGTGCTGACTGTAAAGACACTCACATTATGCCAATGCATTTACAAATGACGTGTAAAGATACAATGCATATTGAGAAATAATTTTCCCTTCTGGCTTATGTCACAGGTTTCTTCTAACTGCAGTTGCCGCCTTGTCATCTTACTCCATTCATCTGCTGCTCAAATCCTCAGGCATTGTGGGTAAGAATTCTGTCTTATGTCTGAGCTTAGCTGTACATAATGATAGTGTGCAGATGTGTTATCAAAATTCAATTTAGACTTTAAAGTCTGTTCTGCCACTTCTGCCAAATTACATTAAGTGATGAAGACAGCGGATACAGTTCAACTGCTTAAGGACAATAAGTCACAATAAGCAATCATTATGGATTAAAAGTTGGAAAGAGATAATAGTATGAATAGGCTTACACTGATAACAACAAGGAAAATGTATTTTTTTGTGTAACTAGATGGAATAAAGTTTATAATGTTTGGGATTGGGAAGCATAATAATCATAGAAATTAAAGTGTTTCAACACTGAAAGTATTTTAATGGGTTTCACAGAGGGATATACAGAGTGATCATTATTGTGCTGTAATATGCTTACAGGGATTCGAGCTTATGAACAGCTGGGGTACAGGGCCTTTGGTACACCAGGAAAAATGGCTGCTGGTATAGCAATCACCCTGCAGAACATTGGAGGTGAGGAGCTGCTGGGACTCAGTGATTAATGTGTTTGCAAATATCATAATGTCGACTGTCTGCTAACTCTCTGTAGCAGAAATCAAGAGTCATACAATACATGGCTTCTGGTTTTTATATGCCTTACCCCACCACACAATAATATTCCAGACATTTTTTCATAACCTTTAAGCGTGGAATATGACTATGTAAAGAGAGACCCGGTAACCTGTTGGTAAACAGCTTCTTTTCCAGTTCCTCACAGTCACTGATGAACATCATGTATTATTGGTTCTTAACAAAGCTATGTGGATACAAATACAGCTTAAATGTTTTTAACTCAGCAAAATTTAGGTTTGATGTCCACCATGATGTTTTTTTTTTCCATTTACAATTTTTTGAAAATCCCATTTTTGCCATCTTGTCCTTAACCGTAGGTCCAGTTGGTAACAAATTAGCTTTGCATCTCCATTGGAAGAAGATTATGAAATATTTTAAAACATTTTCTGATGACTTATTTAGTTTTCACAGTATTTAACAATAAACTTCGAAAGGGGTGGACATTTTCAGAGAAATGGCCATAACTGATTAATCATTTGTCCAATCAACATACATTTTGGCACCGATGTTCAGGGCGTGACCGTAAATGGGGGTACCAAAACATTTTGGTCCTGACCCATAGGTGGCTCCAAAAATATCCAAAATACATATCAAAATAGGGGTGCAGACTGCAGACTTACTAAAATTGGTGTACATGCTCTGGGGATTAGTATTAATCAAAATATTAATTGTCATATACAGTATATTGATGAAAGGGATGTCGCCTATAGACTACCACAAATGTGCTCATAACTTTAGATGCCTTTGATCAATCCTGGTAAAACAGATTGGAGACATGTTTGACTATTTCCTGAGCATATAGACCAAAAAACTGAGGAAAAGTAATTATTCTGGGGAAAAACTAACATTAAGGAGTAAGGAAAGTTTAAGCTGGAACTTTACAGCCCCTATCCAGCGGGGCAGCAGGGTTGCTGTGGTGCCACTGCATTTGTGGCTCAAGGAAGAGCCTCAAAGCAGCTAATCAACAAACTCGCAGCACCGGCACAGACTCATGCATCTCAGTAAATTACACACAGACAAGGAGGGGGAAGAGTAGTACATTCAAAACCTTAAAATATAGGTTGAGGTCCTATAAACATAAGGAATCATAAAATGTGTGATCATTTCACTGCTTGTCAATAATCAGCAACTGAAAGACAATTGAGAAAGAATTGCCAGAGGGACACTGGGCCACATTTTAAGTAAAATCAAAAACACATTTTATGCCCTTTTAGCAATGGACACCGCTACAATTGGACAACAGCTAATGATAGCATTTTGCTGTTAGCTTGGAAGGGTGGGGACGACGAAATCCTAGGTTACTCCTCCTCCTAGGTTTGTAACATTAGCAAGGAATTGTTCAAATGCTAAGATTAGTTCTTGCCTAAAGATAGCTAAAAAGTCTGGGAAATTATGTATATTCAAAAAAGTTGAAATAACTTCCTTCAGGTTAGGTTAAACTCACGTCCATGACTTCAGTGTCCTTGTACTGCTAAACGTAGCTGCTGCTTTATCACTAGAAGAAATGTAATATGATCAGATTTCTTGTGACATGGTTTACTGGTGTCTGTTCGATATGTGAGTGTAATTTCACTCAAACACTATTTGCCATCATTTTTCACTTCCCAATCTCTTGTGTTCCAGCTATGTCCAGCTACCTGTACATTGTCAAATCGGAGTTACCGCTGGTAATCCAAGCTTTCCTGAAGGCCGAACCCAACTCTGAGTAAGTGTTATAATTATCAAGTGCTTTTTCACCTGTGTGCTGCTAGTGAAAGGCACATGACTCCTGGCTGCAGTTAGCCAAGAGCTCAGACGCTGCGGGCAGGGATCAAGAGGCCTGGCAGACTATGTGGGCAGGGAATATTTCAGTTTGCACCAGTCATTGATTTAGTCAGTGTAGGGTGTGATGGGAAGGGCAGCTTCTAATTGGCTGAGAAGCAGAGGGGCTCAACTATCTCTCGGTTATGTGTACATACATCACAAACCCTGAGTGCTGTCAGCGTGTAGAGGTGAGCAGTGTTGACGTCAGAGACACGCCACAGACACTCTGCATAAGGACATGCATGACTGAAGTGGATTCCAGCGGCCTGAGCTAAAAACAAACTACTGGAAAAGGGATTGCGGCTACTGCAGGACACTGTTCTTGAGCTATGTCAGGCCTGAAAGGTTCAAAAAAATCTCTTTAAAAATATGAGGAAACATCCTGACACTTCAATTCAACAGCTTCAATTCACTGTGAAACACAAAACATGGCACAGTTTTTGTTAAACATCCTTTACACTGAATAAAAATAGAAGCAGTCACTAGTTGACTTCAGTTTCCATTTTTATGCTTTGATCTAAAAAAGATGTGCGTCTAATCCTCCTAAAGTTCAAATCATTGCCCTTTATCGTTGATTAATGAAGATGTAGGACAACCTGAAACTTGATTTTGTGTATTGATGATGCGTAAGAGGCGTATCTGCAGTTGATATTGACGTATGTAGTGTTGGCACTCTTGCTTTTTTGTGTGTCTCTCACACACACAGACACACGCGCACACACACACACACACACACACACACACACACACACACACAAACATAATGACAGCAGCAGGTGGTATAACTTGGGTGCCAAATTCCGAAGCCCAGCATACGGACAGGAGGACAGGTCTCAGCAAACGTCACACACACTTTTCATTTCCACTTGAGGAGCCACATGCTGCAAGCTCTGTGGCGTCAGGAGAACCGAGCAGGGTGATTGGTGGGTGGTGGGGCTGAGTGGGGTCAGATTTAGGACAGTCACATGAAGAGAAGGTCAGATATTTGGACTTGAAACAGCATTTGGACCGGACTGCTGTATTTGGGAATAAAAATTCAGAATGATGTAAAGGTTTTTTTTTTCCATACACATTAAGATCCCCTTAATATGGGAATTAATGTATCAAAATGTGTGCTCAGCAAATATTTTACAACTTCAAAATGAAATCAGATCATGTGGAAATTCAGAGAGGATTTTGTTGTTATTTTAGAAATATATTTTTACCTTTTAGCCTATACATTTTAAGTCAATATCAGAAGCTAATATGTATTGACATGGTGCGACGGTCACTGCCTTAGTCAGGCTTTAACTAATTGATTCTGTCCCCGTAGTTTTTGAGGAGTTGGATGGTCCAATCTAGAGCACCTGGGCCTGTTGCTTGCAGGGCATAAAAGCCCGACCCCAGGATCTCTCTCTCTCTCTCTCTCTCTCTCTCTCTCTCTCTCTCTCTCTCTCTCTCTCTCGCCTAACATTGACATTCATTCTATGTCTGTTTGTGCTATGGTTGTGGGTGCGTTGTTGATGATGCGTAAATCACTGTTGCCTCAATTTTAGTTGTTCTTTCTCATATTTGTCATGGCCATGAAGCCAGGTTATGACAAATTGGGGGCTTGTCCGCCTTTTTCTCTTTTGTGCCGTGACTCTCTAAATAGTCCCAAAAAGCACTAGAGGGAAAAATGTTTGCGTTCAGTTTAAGTTACTCCAACATTAAGTTGTTCTTTCTCATATTTGTCATGGCCATGGAGCCAGGTTATGACAATTGTAAGAAAACAAAAGTATAAACAGCAAAATATGCAATGAACACACAGCCCACTAGAGCTGATTAACAATCATTTTCATAATTTCCTAGATTAATGTATTCATATTTAATTGTACAAGATGTCAAACAGTGGAAAAAAAGCCCATCCGAATTTTTTACAACTAAAATTGCATTTACGGATTGGTTCTTTTCTCAAAAAATAACCTTAAGACTCTGCATAGTCTATCATAAATGAAAAGTAAATCCTCACACTCAAAAAGCATAAACTAGCAAACAGTAGACATTTTAGCTTGAAACATTATTATAATCATGTACTGATAGTCAAAATAGTTGACTTGTAAACCTTTTTTTTTTGTTGAGTAATGGAAAAATGGTTGCAGCTGTCATGGAAACTTGACTTTGACTGGTCTAGGTTGAGTGGAGAATAGACTTGGACTTGCCAAAAACAGATTCACAATTCGTATAGCTTGTGAAAACTGATCGTCTACCATGACCTACTGACCAAAAGTCCAAAGAGGACATGACCTGTTATTGGTGTGACTTCCCCTGCTGTCAAAGGACTCCTACACACACACACACGCACGCACACGCACACACACGCACGCACACGCACGCACGCACACGCACACGCACGCACACACACACACACACACACACACACACACACACACAGGGATGGTCTCATAGATCATTGTGTGCCCCTGCCTGTAGGCCCATGACCAACAGCTGATCCCCCTGGTTGTGTCTCTTTCAGGGGGTTAAGAATAACAGGCTTAGGAGCTTAAAGTGGGTTTGAAAGACACAAAGACCTTTCTATACACAGATTATACAATATATGCTATACAGGATTTAGGCGAAAAGAGGTCTGATTGTTTGGAAGTCATTCATAAAACCCTCTGTTGCTGGTGCTATAATGTTTGAGACTTCCCCAGATTACATTTGCTTTAACTCAGTAAAGGAGAATGTGTCTTTTCTGCTTCATTAGCTAAACTGGTGGTTTTTCTCACTTCAAAGAGTGGGACATGTCTAATCAAACCACAATAAACAATATGTTAAACCAAATACTATGTGTTTACTGTAAGCAGATTTGTCAGGAATGATTAAAAGCGTGCACAATATCATTTTGTTAGACCACCAGTGAGACTCAGCAGTGACCTCCAACTTTGTCACAGCACCAAAAAGGTCCATGCGTGTTCAGACTATACACGTGCCGAGCGGCTCTTTTAAGTTATAAGAGGGAGTTATGTTTTATGAAGGGCATTCACAGCAGGTCTGTTTAATGGGAGGACATGTGTTGTGGCCACATTTAGCAAATGATGATCCAGCAGCAAGGTCCTCCGTTGGATCGAAGGGGAAGCAGTGTTAAGATTGTATGCGTCATTCCATTCTCGTGTGTTTTTAAGCTTTGATCCGAAAGCAGTAAAGCAGTGCCTATAAGAGGAAAACTATTTTAAGTTGTTGTTTTTTTTGTATGGGGTGAGTAATATCAATATTTTTGGACGGTTGGTAGGAAAGACAGAGAAAGATAGAGATGGTAATATTTATGTCTTATGCATCATTGTGTTGTTTAGACTTTACTTTCTCTTCTTTTTCTGCAGCTGTGAACTAACATGAATTATTGCAGTTCAGTCATAGTTGAATAAAATGTGAAGAGTCACACAAGCAGACATGCTTTTTCCACAATCATTAGGCCAAATATGTTCCCTTCAGTTTGCCGTAGGCCTAGTAAATTGCATCTCATCAACCACTGAGAGCAGCAGAATTTTAACGAGCTCACAAACACATTTGGTTTGCTTGATTTGAGGAAAAGTGGTTCCAACACTTTCACTTAAATGTGTAAACAAAATTTCACACCATCCAGTACTTTCCACTCTATTTTTTTCTCTCCATGTGTTGTGTTTCTGTGCCAGGGTTTGGAATATTGAGCTCCTAAAGTAAACTGTATTTTTCTCCAAACAGTCTGTGGTACACGAATGGAAACTACCTGGTCATCATGGTCTCTGCCAGTATCATCCTGCCCCTGGCTCTAATGAAACAGCTCGGTGAGATCATGCTAATACTCTGGATTCTTTTTTTTTGTTCTCTAATTTAGTATCTCATTTAATCAGGAACAAATACTGTTAAATTTGTCATTCAAATTTTCTTTTCAAGTAATTTTTTCCTGCATTTTAACCACTAAAAACGAGTTCTTTGGAAGCCCATTCCTGCCAAAAAATTTATAAACATAAATATATAGAATAGAAGTAAAACTATCTAAATGATAGAGACTTTATGCTGACATTTAAAAAAAAAACAATTAAAGTTAAAATGGTCTTTCTAAATTTCTCGTTTTTGTGTCATCGTTTATTCCTAATATTAACTGACTATGTTCAGTCTTAATTCATAATGACTAATCATGTCCTTCTTATGCTTCCTCTCCTCAATCTCTTTATTCAAGCTGTGTTATTATGCCTGTTGGAACGACTAGCTCCTTTAGCTTCAGCTAATTAATCTGAAGTAGTTTGGTCTTTTTTTTTTTCAAACGTTTTTCAGAGCATTGACCTCTAATATAGTTACCTAACACATTCCTTACATAAGCCAAATTCTTTCAATGACACATTTTATCAAGCTAAATAATGACATTTCAGTGGTGCAATTACCTTACAGTGAAGCAATTAGTGTGTTCTTTTTTATTTTTTTTATTCCACCACTGGCAGTAAAAATATCAGGTGCCCAATCACACATAATTTACGCTGACATGGTCACATAATCTTTTAATTCAGGAAACATACTCTTTCTGATCTCATAATACTTTAAGTCACCCTAATGGGGCACTTTTGCAGACAGGAGTAGGGAACCTTATAACTGTAACAACTCTGGAAGTCTCTCTAAATAGTCCCGAAAAAAGCACTAGATGGAAAAAATGTTTCCGTTCAGTTAAAGTTGCTCCAACATTAATGGTCTCTTTCTCATTGTTTTCAGGTTACCTCGGCTACACCAGTGGGTTTTCTCTCAGCTGCATGGTGTTTTTTCTCAGCGCAGTAAGTTGGTCAACATCACCACAGTGAAACCTCACAAGGAGCCTCATTTGATCTGGCTTGTCTTCTTGGCAAACACCTTTCTCACTTCCTCACCTTTTGTCCCTTTCCCACCCTTGTCTCTATATTTGCAGTGCTATGTGTCTATGTTTGATAAGGCGAATATAAGCTCAGCTTCAACACATCAAAGGTTGAGAGCATTTGGAGACTAAGTCACACTAATCTGATGTGAAATGTCTTCAGTCTGGCAGTGATCATTTTGATCCCTTGTTTACTGACTCTGTCACATCCCCTCATCCTTATTCTTTGATTATGCCTCAGCTTTTTTTGAAACATCTTTCCCATACATGCATTTCTGCAGGTTATCTATAAGAAGTTTCAGATTCCCTGTCCATTCGAGGAGTACTCTTCCAACAGTACTGCTGCCCTCCACAGTCTGAATGTCTCCAGCCATGGCCACGACGAGTACAACAACGGCCTAGTTCACGAGGAAGACGACTGCTACCCACGCTTGTTCACCATCAACTCACAGGTAGGCGGTCAAAGAGAAGGCGCGTTATGCTTATCTGGATTGTTTTCACACATTAAGCCCACAAACACTTGCGCTGTACTTGCTAGTCCGATGTCCCACACTTATTTTCTGTATGTTCACTAATACCGCTGACAGAAAATCACGTTTCTTATGTGTTTATTCACAGACCGCATATACAATTCCCATCCTAGCCTTCGCCTTCGTCTGCCACCCTGAGGTGCTCCCCATCTATACCGAGCTGCGCAAGTGAGTCCCTCCTCTGTAACCTAACACACATGATAGTATGTCAGTGCAAAAGAAAGCATTCATAAAAGGTTGAACTCTTTGATTTTAGTCCAACAAAGAAGAAGATGCAGAAGGTGTCCAACCTCTCCATCCTTGTCATGTACACCATGTACTTCCTGGCTGCTCTCTTTGGGTACCTGACATTCAAAGGTAAGCACAGTTGTCCCTCCTTCTTTTTTTTGGAGTCAGTGATTACAGTATCAGTAATCTTTAATCACAGATTCTGTGTAGAAATGTAGAATCTGCAGACACATGATTTTGGTATCAGAGTTCAGTTCTTTCTTCAAGTCTGCTAACGTTTCAGCACACTTTGGCTGTATGCAGGAAAACAGTCTGTATGGAGAGCCAAAGGGATGGGACGCATTTGGCTGTGTGTGCAATCCTGGAACCTTTAAGATGTCATCTGACAATGATCAAGCTTCATACATTTTTATGTATGATATTTGCACGTTAAGTTCAATTAACAATTTGCTTTTCAGTGAAGTTTCTCCACACTAAATTAGATCCTGCTTCTTAAGCTGCTAGGTAACATGTTGATAAGGAAGTCTTGGGCTGAATTCCAAACTCCACACTTAGTGCTGCCCCATTGTGAAACCATCACGTGCAAGAGGGCTCAGATTAGATCTTCTCAACGGCAAATTACAAAACTTTTTCATGAGTTTCGCATATGTGCAGACTTACCCGGAGTTCATTGGAAAGGATGTGAGGTGAAGTTCATGATCATCCATCTCCCCACCAAATGTGTTGATTCAATGAATCAGTATTCAATAAAGTTTGGAAAAGAAAAAATACTTAATTCAATCAAAGCAAGCATAAACGTGATGAGAAAAGTCACATACATTAAAGTGACAATATGTGGCCTTGTTTGTTACTTGGTGGTTATTTATAGCACCATTGAGGTTTTTTTTATTCAAATATTCGCAAATTATTTATGTGTTTAAAAAAAACACTGTAATACTAATAAATACTGGAGGTAGGATTTTTTTCTCATGTTAATTAAATACACATATTTATACTTATTTCCAGGCAACGTTCCCATTACAATTTTTTTAATACTATCTCAAGCCCTCGCAGACAAATGCACTCAAGCCATCGAAGTCTGTGAGGGTTCAATGCTTAGTCTTTAGGGTGGAGTCATAAATCCTTCATCTCTAACTACTGGCGACACTGGAGGGTTAGGGTGTTGCTCCCAGAGGCTTTACAGTCGTCAGTCAAAAGCCGATTTGTTCAGAGACGGCAGTATCAGTGGAAATAGATAAATATGAATGCAACAATGAGACGATCTGTCTATTAATACCGGTACATGTTTCCCATTAAAAAATAGAAGGAAAGTCTAGCTATATAAAAGCTTTACCCTGGAAAATAATGCTTTTGCCCCAGGCAAAAAACTGTATCAATGTCAACATGGTACAGAAATCAAAGTATCAAAGAACCGCATTTAATCATTGTGAGTATATGAATAAAATAAATCATTGGGTGGCTTATTTTAAAAAAGTTGTATTTATCATGCACAGAAACTATTTGTGTTGCTGAAGAGTCTTCAGGGTCTAACACTGTGATGAGGGGATGTTGCTTTCTATTTGACATCTAATTTGTGATTTAAGTTAATAATTGAAAGCCTAATGCAGCAATTAAAGATACTTTAATGTTATATTTTAGCATATTGATAAAATATTTATCAAGAAAACACACTTTTTTTTTCAAATGTTCTGAACTTCTGTTTAATTCTAACTTATGTACCCCATCACTTCCAGCTGTTATCAATAAACAGTGATATGAAGTCGTCATTGTTGTACAATAGCTGCTTCCCTTCCTGCCCACGGAGCCACAGTTCCATCTAGTGGTGATAATGTGCCTTTCAGCACTCTGAGCCATTATCGCTAATAAAAATGCATTTCCTTTATATTTCTGTAGGCAGGGTGGAGCCTGAGCTGCTGCACACTTACAGCAGGATTGACCCTTATGACACTCTGATCCTGTGTGTGCGAGTGGCCGTCCTCACAGCTGTAACACTGACCGTCCCCATTGTGTTGTTCCCTGTAAGTTTCTTGTGTTTTTTTCCCCTGCAAATACTAATGCATACATTTTTGCAGTATTATTACCTTATCAAATCTTCTCTGTGTGTCCACAGGTACGTAGAGCTATCCAGCATATGATTTTCCCAACCAAGTCATTCAATTGGCTGCGTCACATCGCCATCGCTCTCATTCTGCTCACTTTCATCAACATGCTGGTGATATTCGCTCCCAACATCCTGGGAATCTTTGGCTTCATTGGTAAGTACAAGTACATTGTTAAGCCCACAAAGTCCGCCAGGAACCTATAGGTGTCATGATTGATGACCAGCTAACATTTAAGGTTCAAGTGACCTTAAATGCCCGCTCATGTTTATTTGCCCTGTACAACCAAGATCAGACTGTAGGAGCCAATTTGCTGTCTGTGTTCTAATAGACTAATGGTTTTGGTTGATATGTTTATTTATTTACTTATTTACTTAATTTGGAAACCAAGTGACGATAATTGATAGTGTGGGTTAATTGGCCAGGCAGTATGGTTAAGAGTTTATAGGTCACAGGTGAACAGGAAATGGTGGGAACATACAGCTCTTACCGTGATGCAACGCAATGTAGCATAACGTAATGTAACATAACATAAACAGATGAACAGAACAAACATTTATAATCTCGTCAACAAGAACTCATCATATCATCGTCACGGTTTGTCTGCTTCATATGTTTCAATGAACGGGAATTTCACAGTAATTTCATAGTAACTAGACTCTTCTCCTTTTCCGCCCTCCCAGTGGTAGGACAAACTACCAAACTTCATTCGATCTGCAGAGTCACTTTGCAGATTTGAGACTGCGCTCTTTTGTGAACACCTATGCTACACGCTTAAAGAGGACATATTATACCCCTTTTCCACCTTTTCAAACAGTCTCCTGTGGTCTAAATGAAACATCTGTGCTGTGCTTTGATCAAAATATAACATGAATCAAGCACCAGAGGAGGTTTGTGACCCTGTATAAACAAATTCTCTCAGAACGCTCCGTTTTGGAGTGTGTCTCTTTAAATGCAATGTTTGCTCTAGGCTGAGGGCGGAGTCCATGGGTGGAGGTACAAGGGGAAGGGAGGTTTTTTTTTTTTTTTTACCAAAACCCAAATTGTGATGTCACAAGTTCAGCAAATTTGAAACGGAGCATTTTACTCTGTGTTGTAAGACTTATGTCTATTTCACATTTTGTGGGTCAGTAGACACTCAGGTTACCCATATGTTTGAAAACACTGTAGAAGTGGATTTTTCATAATATGTCCCCTTTAATTATATTGATGATGGTTTTGTTTGATAATGAAAATGAAGTTATTTAGGATGGTTTTAATGCTGATTAGAACTCTCAAGAACTATACTTACTCTCTGATGTACGTCACTTTGGATAAAAGCCTTTTGCTTGGTCAATAATAGAATTGTAGAAAGTACATCAGCGAATATAAATAATAATAATAATAATAATAATACAAAAATAATGACTGTCATCAAGAACATGTAGAGGGCTTTATTTTATGTCAGTAAATGATCCTGAATGTTAAGGCATGTGTTAAAATGAAGACTACCCAAAAACATCATCAACATGCTTTTCTTATATCATCTACATGTTATTATAGGTTACTTATTCTGTCTTTGTTTACAGACTGAATCCTTCGGATTTCCGGGCACCTAAAAAACATAAAAGAAAAAAGGAAAAAAAAACATGACCGCTGAATGTTTGTTGATGACCTGAGTCAATATTATTGTCGAGCTCTGTCCGCAGGATTGGTGGTCAGGTTCACAGGTTAGAGATGAAAGTTGAGAGAACACAAGTTAAAGGGCTGTCAAGGGTAAACTTCAAAGCATCAGGTGTAGCTTTGACAAACACGTTCACGCGCTGAAGAACACATGAGGGCGTTTCTGTTTGTGAAATTTACAGAAGCAGCAAACAAAAGGAGATGATGCAATTTATTGAGCTTTTTACAACAACCTTTGTATGTTTCTAGGAAAATCAGGGAATTCATCTTGTGAAAGAATGTAAGCTTTTACAAAAAAAAGCTGAAATCAGGTAGAATTTACAAAGCAAGCCTAGAACTTTACGCTTTAGACAGCAGATTATTTTTTCTCTTATCTAACCTCACTTCTATCACTAATAGGCTTTTTTTTATAATCTGTATCAAACAGTGTCAGGTCCATCAAACATTCTGGGTACTTTAAACTTTTCCCTATCCCACAATGACCCCTCAAGAAGGCATTATGATTAACAAACAGATAATATACAATAGAAGCGACAAGAATTGACTGGTAACGGGCAATTACAGTAATTCTTTTTTTTAGATGATGAGTGAGTAATTGAAAATAAAGAAAATACAATGCACACTGATTAAAGTAACTTAAAAGTACATGTTTTGATAAAAAACTTTTATATACTAGATATCTCTTTGACAGTTCGTACTATTTATTTTTTATGATTCATGATATTTCATTTCTGTACGTACCAGCTTTTATCAAATTTGCTATATTTTTTTACATGTTTTCTCCCCTCACAAAATCATCACCAGCCTATATGTAATAATATTTATGTATATATATACTTTTTTTTCAATATAAAGTACACTGTCTTGAATCACAAACACTTCGACCAGGCCCAATATCTCACAAACCCTTTGCAGTCTAAGGTTATCAGGATTGATAGTTAGGTTGATATGTCCAGGTTTAACCACTGATGACCCACATTTATTCAGAATCTTGTTTCCCTTAGAAATTTTTTTAACTGATATTTACCCCTTTCTCATTGTCTTAATGTCACTATGTTCACTATAACCATCTCTATATTGCTGGAAGATGTCTTTAATCAACCCTTTCTCCACAGGTGCCACATCTGCTCCCTGCCTCATCTTCATCTTCCCCGCTGTCTTTTACATCCGCATCGTTCCCAAAGAGGACGAACCCATGAACTCTACCCCGAAGATACTGGTGAGAACTTTGTATCTCTGTGCATTTACACAATCAATATTCTAGTTGATTCTCGCTTGTTAATAATGGCTTATTTGCCTTCTAAAACGTGATAATAACTCTTCCTTCTGTGCTGTGCTGTATGTTTTTTCCCCTCTCTCTCTTTCTCTCAGGCTGCGTGTTTTGCTGCTCTGGGCGTCTCCTTCATGGTGATGAGTCTGAGCTTCATCATCATTGACTGGTCTACAGGGGCTGGCATGGCTGCTGGAGGCCACTAGATGCTGCTACAGTGTGTGTGTGTGTGTGTGTGTGTGTGTGTGTGTGTGTGTGTGTGTGTGTGTGTGTGTGTGTGTGTGTGTGTATGTATGTATGTGTGTGTGTGTGTGTGTGTGTGTGTGTGTGTGTGTGTGTGTGTGTGTGTGTGTGTACAAGTGAGAGAGATATGAGAAGGGGGCGGGGGTTGTAGAATGTAGAATAATGCTTATTGTATAGGGAGCATTATCACCTGGGTGGTACACACTACAGGGCGTCTCAGCATGGAATGTTGGGATTAGATTTATACTGATCACGTTAATTAACTTTTTGACTGGATTGTAACACATATCCAAACAAAATCCTGTAATACCAATGTTCTATAATTGAATTATTATATGGCAATGCAATTAAGATGAATAATCAGGACTTTTTTAACTCCCTTCTACTGGAGCAACAACAACCATCCATGATGGTGAAACTTTCCTGTTGCTCTTTATTTACACACACAAACAGTTGCAGCTGGAACTGTACAGAAGAAAAAGGCATGATTGTCTTTTACAGGAAGGCATCAACATGAATATGGATACAAAGGTAAAATAACTTGAGTTATTTTTACACAAATAGTATTTTTCATAAGACACACAAATAGTACAGTCAGATGATTACATTTCTATCCAGCAGCCTCTAAAATGTTCATCATATCAGACTTTAGAGTACAGGTGACATTTAACCTTGTGGTCTATCCACTGCCTGAGTAGTTATGAAGTTGTATTCTACAGAGGAAGCATTTGTTCTGCTGATCTGCTAGTTCACTTCAGAAACCCTGGTGCCTTTCAGCCTTTGGAACAGCACACAAATATACAATAAAAGGGAGGAGTGTATATTTATTTAGCTACTATATCTGTGTTTTTAATTCAAATGAGCTTTATTTAACTGCGTTATCTGAGGAAGTAAATGATCTTAGCATGTCGAGTTTGATATCAGTTTTTAGTTTCACTTACAGCACACAGGAAGGAAAGTTTATGATAATATTTGTAGTGCTTGATAAAATAAATTGTAATTTTAGCACATGTATGCCACACTGTGACTGTGAATATTAACCAAGTGCAGATTAATATGACCTAGACCGTTTCCCTTTGAGCCTAGCTAAATAATCTCTTAAATACTTGATTACCTCTTTAAAGTATCAAATCACAACATTGAACAAATTAAGAAATCATGTTTCCCCATGATAGAATGTAATACTACATCTTTATATTTAAACTATGCTCTTCAAGTCTACTCTTGTACAACATTTTGGGAAACTACCACATCCACTTTTTAACCTAGAGTTAGTGGAGAAGATTGAGACCACACTCGTATATGTTATCTTCAGCTACAGTCAGCAGGCAGTTAGCGTAGCTTAGCATAAAGACTGGTAGCAGGGCGAAACTGCTAGCTACACTCTGTATAGTTAAAAAAAAAAAAAAACAGTACACCAGCACCTCTAAAGCTCACTTACAGTATGGCCAATAAATATCTTATTTAAAGAGGACATATTATACTAATTTTCCACCTTTTAAAACAGTCTCCTGTGGTCTAAATGAAACATCTGTACTGTGCCTTGGTCACAATATAACATGACTCAAGCACCAGAGGAGGTTTGTGACCCTGTATTTTGTTCCGTTCTGGTGTGTGTGTCTCTTTAAATGCAATGAGCACCCCCCGAGTTTACCAGGTAGACATCACTCCTCTGTAGCGAGACTAAAAATGGTAGACCTGCGCAAAAGTTTTGTTTTAGGTGAGGGGGGGATTTTACCAGAATCCCACTTGTGATGTCACTAGTTGAGCAAATTTGAAACAGAGCATTTTTCTCTGTGTTGTTAGACTTATGCAGACCACAAACAAAGGACTGAATGGGTTTATTTTACATTTCGTGGGTCAGTAGACACTCAAGTTACCTAAATATATGTTCAAAAACACTGTCAAAGTTCGTTTTTCACAGCATGTCCCTTTTAATAAAGAGACCAAAAACCCCAAAATATGTAGAAACCTACAGATAATACATATTTCAGAACCAATACAAATCAAACCAAAGTCTCTCCACAAAGAGTATGTTATAACATAGGCCTATGGTTTATTTTTTTTACATGTGAATCCCCCAATACTTACTGGGTTAGTTGACATGAGTTTGCAGACATGAACCCACTGGTCGGTGTGACAGACTTAATCAAGTTAATTTGATTCTTATAAAGATGACCCTTTTTAAATATTGCCGTAACGTCTAATGCTGTACTGGTTTGTAGGTTTTTGATCTGCTTTCACCATTTTTGACTAATTATACTTGAGCTTCATGTGTTTGCATGCTGTAACGTCACGTCTGTAGATTATTTAGTGATGATATAGCCTGATATAGCGTACATTTGGCATCTCACAGTGAAGCGTATTTAAGTTCAAATCTGTGCTCTAATCGTTATAGTGATTGTTTAAGTATTATGAAGCCCCTCTTAAAAGTTACAACCTTGCATAATGTTTAAAACATTACTGTTTGATGGATTGCTGGTGAAGAGCTTAATGTAGGGACTTGTACTGATGCTGTAAGCAGTTGTTCAGATTCATATTGTATCACACAGAAAACATGCAAATATTTTTTTTTTTCCATTTTAGCTTAGAGGATCATTTCATTAAATAGATTATATATAAAGAAATAATAAAAACTGCATACATTTTTTTCAAACGGGAAATCAACTCAGAGAACTGTCACAACAGATATGCTGCTCCTATCCAAAGATGGATTGATATGATACCACATCTCAGGCTTCAGAAAAGCCCTGCGTGAATCATCACTTCTCTCATTTTATTTATATATACGTATATATACGTATATATATATATATATATATATTTTGTGTTTGTTAGGCAGTTTTTATTCCTGTTTTTTGTGGATAATTTATGAACAACAGCAGAGGAAACATGCATTTACTTCTGTCCCTTGCTTTCCCATGTCATTTGCGGTGGTTGCTGTGGTTTATGAAGGATTAGTTTTTGTCATATTTGTTGAACAGACATTCTCTTCACTGAAAGGGATCATGCCAAAATAACAACTGACTACCTACTGCTCTGAGATGCCTTTGGCTCATAAACAGGCACCACAGTTTAAATACAAACATGCATCTTCATTTACCTAACAAGTTAATATGGTATTTTGTTTAAGCCGACATAACTCTATGGACATGACACGACTACAAAAAAAGAATAAGGTTCATGAGTTTTGGTGAAAAAGACGTGGCTTTATATAAATAATGTGTATATATAAATGTAAACCTTTTATATTTGTGATGCATATTTACAGTAGCTTGTAAAGTGTAAATAGCAGGGACAGTTTTAGTTTGGCAATAAAATAATTGTAGATGTTTTTACATTGTTCTCTGTTGTCATTATTTATCCCATAACTGAAAATAACTCTCATTCAAGCAGCACATTATTTCTGATATTTGATTTAAGTACACATTTCCAAATCGACCTGCCGATGATCACTGATGTTTTTTAAGTGTTGTGCTTTTCATTTTTTGCTACTTAATGGGTTCATACATTAATTACACTGTAACATTTTCAGTGCAGAAATATAACATCTTTAAACCAAAGTATACATTTTTTTTGTACTTGTTTGAAAGAAGAGTTCATATAATCCTTTCTGGGTTCTTATCACATCTATCAAGGCTAAACCATGTTTACAAAAACACTAAACCTGAACTTTCGGTCATCCTGATCCCTTGCTGCCCCGGGCCTGTTAAGACTCTGTAATGTCAACAAGCTCTAACAACAATACTGACTCCTTTTAATTTCCTCATGCTAAAACAGTAAGACACAGACACTTGTATGTTTCTGATATCAAAAGCACTAATCTAAATTTCCTGCGACATTTAATCACTCATTTGAGAAAAAACAAGAATATGGCCCAACCAATGAAGCTCAGTATATCAATGAAAATGACCTATATATGACATAAATAAACCTAATTAACATTAACCAACACCTGTTAATGTATTTTTACATCTGTATCCATTTTTAGTTATTGGAATATTGCTTTGAAAATTCCTTATATTTTTACTGTTTTAATAATTAAACATGTAGCCTACTCAACTGCCTTGCCTTCTTGTTGGTTTGTATTATAAAGCACTACAGTGCGATGTAAAAGTATACATGGTTTATTATCAATATGGATGTGGCTATATAGAACATATTTGAACATACAGTGTATAGACCAGCAAATGCCTTGTGTTACCAGATAAGAGATCGACTTGTGTCCACTAGGTGACGCTGTGAGGCTAATATAGTATCCTGATGATGTGCCAAGGAATTTCATAAACATGACAAAAAGACGATATAGACATTTTAACATTTGGCTCTGCATCTTTGGAAAAACGAACCGAGCCCGCTCCTGTAGAGCTCAGTCCAGTCGGTTACTGAAGACAGTTCAGACTAATGAACAATGTTTTGTTCGTCGTCTGCGCTGCACGGATGACAAACGCAGAGGACTGCTGCTGGCACAGCGCCCACTGCAGTCTGCACACCGCACTGTAAAAAATCTCGCCTCACTGTGCTGTCACACTTAATTGGTTCCACACAAACTGACGCGGAGAGCTCACCTGCTTTAATTGGACTATCGCGACAAGTCAAGCCAAGTGACGTCTGGTCGCCTACTCCAAATTGTCGTAGGAGTATCTTGGCGAGTCCAATTGGGCAACCAGGACTGCGGTAGTGAGCAAACCGAGGCGCACGCTGCTCACCAGGCCGACAGGAGAAGAGTGAGGGTGCAGCAGAGCAACGAGCTCAGGCATCCCAGCGTGTTAAGGATGCAGGACAGATGGATCTGAGCGAAAACATAATGGACCAGCCATAACAGCCTGAGATCCTGCAAAACAAACCAACACGAATTGGGTGCTTTGAGCTTCTCATCCAACAGGAGATCAATCATTTTTACGTGTGGGTAAAAACTCTGGATTTGGCTGTTTCCCTCTTTGAAAGCCTTTGCTCCATATTCCGCTGGCACGCTGAGATCACAAACATCTGAGCCTTCTTTTTTTGTTTTGCGCAAGTGGTGTGTGCGCTCCTGCGTTTTGGAGCCATGGGCTGTACGGTGAGCGCCGAAGATAAGGCAGCCGCGGAGAGGTCAAAGATGATCGACAAAAACCTCCGAGAGGACGGAGAGAAGGCGGCCAGAGAAGTGAAACTGCTTTTATTAGGTAAGTGGCTGGCAGCTAAAGAGGGCTCCTCAGGTTATGTTATTAGGAGCAACGTTTTTGAAGTTTTAGAGTGATCCCAGTACATCCAGGCCACCATGGACATGCAAAGAAAGCAACGCAACATGGTTTTCTCGTAAGAAGGTGAATAAAGAGGGGGAGAAGAAAGCTCTAATGTTTAGACATGAAATCAGATGATAACGTATCCAATCTACCCCCAATATCTTCCTCAAATAGTGCCAGTGCGAATCGTACAAGATTTAGCAGAGAAAATAGGTCATTTTGCTCTTTTTCAAATAGTGATAAACAATCTGTCACTGTGCTGCTTATTACCAAATAAAAGTCAAGTTGCTTGAATAAAAGCCAGATATCATTTCAACAGGCTGCACAGCTTCTCAGATGTCTGCCTGGCATTGTGCCCAGAAAGCTTAATTCAATAAATCAAACCTGTGGACTCTGACTAAACATTAATACAGTCACACTTCGGCACCACTCGTCTACACACAGCAGACAGTTCTGATATCTTTTTGTCTGCTGAAAACAGTTGGGGTAGAAAAAAAAACAGTTTTTTTATTGAATTGATCAGGGAGCTGCAAAATCACACAATCACAATCCGTTTTACCCATGCACAAACACACAAACAACAAAAACACTCACACACACACTCCCACTCACTCGCCACTTTCTCACTTCCCCTACCCGCATTTCAGATGTTATGTTTGCTGTCATCTTGCTATAAAGTCTTTTATTTTCTTCCTTTATTGCACATAACTCAACCCAAAACCTGGAAACTATCGATAAATCAAGAATGGTTGTGTGTTTATGTGCTAGGAGAGAAGAAGAGCAGGTGGGTCAGACCCTGTCCTGTCTCTCTGGAAGGCTGTTTTTCTCGAAAAAATGATCCAGGTCTTTAGGAGGTCTATAGTGTGGGACCTGCTGCTGAGGTTGGATTCTAAGTCGATTTCTGCATGCTCTCAGACAGTGATGATAAAAATGATTAAACTGTGAGAGAAAATCTCAAAAGAGCTTCAGGCTGTGTTAACACTGCCACATGTCCTCCTGTGTGCTCACACGAACACACTTTTAAAAAGGATGTGTATCTTTGAATCTTTGCATATAAGCAGTGGGTTCTTCAATACATCGACTTTTAATGTCTAGATGACTTGAATCCGCTATTACAAATCATTTAACAAATATGGAAAAGAAAAACAGAACCAGAGGTACAATTGTTGGAGGTAACAGTGTTTCTGAAATGGGATTTTTTTTCCTGGAGGACATTTTGACACGTCATCGTATGAACAGCACATTGTAGCCTGACATGACCAGACCAATTAGCAGGTGTAAATTAGTCTGAAATGTATTTTCTTTTTTAAGGGGCGTTACTAACAGGCAAGGATCTGAAATGCCTCTGGACTCAATTATCTCTATGTATAACCATTCAAAGCTGACCTCACACCCATTGTTCTTATAAACAAAACTGTATTTTCAGTTTCTTGCTCTCTCAAACAAAATACACTCTTCAGTGTGTTCAATACTTAAAACAAAGTGGATTCAACAGAACATACCGCATTAGTGGAAGTGATCTTGGCTGTTAACAAAATCGCCTAAAAGCCATTAAAACCCGCCCCTAAGTAGATAACCAGCTAGGATTGGTCCGACCATGACCATGCTAGCTTGTATGTTGCAGGAGGAGGTTAAGACTCATGGAGGAGCAAATAAAACATGAGCTTCAGATCTGTGTGACTCTAAGGCTAGCATATGTGTAAATAATGAATAGAATCATGGCTGAGTTCACTGTCACAGCTTACTGAGACACGTGAATTAAATACATTCATGGTTAATGTTGTTAGAAATGTATGTACTTTTCCAACTAGGAGAACTCAAAATTAGGGGGTGGCTATGGCTCAGTGAGAGTCAGTCATCTCTAAACCAGAAGGTCGGGGGCTCCATCCTTGCAGCCAAATGTCTGATGTGTCCTTGGGCACGACACTTAACCGCTCCCACTGATATGAATGTGTATGATTGGGATATTTAATTCTGATGGACACTTTACAAAGCAGACTCTACCATCAGTGTGTAAATGAATGGATAGGTGTAACATGCGGTGTAAAAGCGCTTTGAGGTGTTAGAAGACTAGAAAAGCGCTGTACATGTGGATGCAGGAGCTGGGGATCGAACCCCCAACTTCCGGTTGAGAGAAGCATCTACAGTTCTGTAATTGCTTCTATAATGAATAAATTACAGAACTTGTGGTGATACTGGAAGACATTATTTGAATAACAGGAATAAAGCAGAGGCAACAACAACAGAAATCTGTTGTCTGAAGATTCTTTGAGAATCCCACAGTTGACTTAGACCACATTATCCTTTTAGTTGAAACGGTCTGTGTCAAGTTTTTACAAATCAGCTGTCAGAAGTGCTTGTTTGTTGACTCTAACGTTGAGCTGACGGCATGAAGACAACCTAATGCTTGTATTACTCATGTTTGTGTATGAGAAACTTGTTCTGACAGAGAGAAGACTGTTGCTTGATGGTGGTCACTGAAGCATAAAAGAGGAGCAAAAATCCTAATGGGTTTACAGCATCCAGCCAAGTGCTCTCCTGTCGTGTTTTTTTTTCATCACGAGTTCTGAGGGGAACTTAAAAGGCCTGTTCCCTTTTTTAAAGAAAAATTCTGTAGTTGGAAACAATGTTGAAGCAGAGTTCTGGCACAGCCTCAACAACTACCAAGAGGCGTGGAGAATGAAAGGCTTGAAGAGGTCAAAAAGGTGACACTAACACTTGTAGTTTAAACACCAGCTTTTTTAGACAGACATGTTTCGGCTTGTGGCCTTTATCAGGGTCATGCCAACAATGTTGCCAGATAATAACTTCTTAGTTTCTGTTTCCCACATGGGTGCCAGGGAAGACCATGGCACTAGCATGGACTGAATCAAATGTATGTAGAGGAGAAAGAAGTTGAGCTGTTTGCAGACATAAAGAGCTGTAACGTGCCTCCTATCGTCTGCTCTCATACTTTAATTCATATTTTATCAATGGGCTAAAAAGAACTGAACTGGACAGTAACTCTTCACTGACATCATAGTGTTGTACAAAAACAGTGATTACACTGTGTTGCACCATATACTGAGGCTCGCTGTGTAACCGTCTGACTGACTGGACGGCACATCTTCATCAGAGCTCCAACCAGGAACCAAAACTCGTGTTGCATAAATAAGTGATACAACATCGAAGGAAGTGAAGGTCATTAGTGCTTGGCACACAGACACACTGATATCCTGAAGGAGTGTGAAACATCAGTATTTCACAATATTAATTTGGTCAAAAGGACAGTGAAAATACCTGAAATTCAGACATCTTTTGCTTTAAAATGGGCTTTCCAAAACATGTCTGTGTCTGAATATGAAAAATGCAGTATGGTAGCTTCACATGTATAGTATCTTATTTTTTAACAGTTGTGAGAGGTGGGGATTTCACAGATCTTGAAGATACTTCCCAGTGAGGCTCTTTCAACTTTCCTGTTACAGATTTTGACCCAAGACCCATTCCCAAGTGAGGATACATATTTCATTTCAAACTATTTTTTTTTTAACCAGCCTTAAATAAGCCTCCGTAGCAGCTCATCTTTAACTCCCCAGCAAAGAGGACGGTAATAATAGTGCTGCACAGATGTGACTCACTGCTCATGACAGAGAGGAGGGATCAGAGTAAGACTGTCCTTCCAGAGAAGACACCCACAAACTGAAACAGTATACTTATGTTCTGTTAGTCATGTCTCTGCTGAAAACCACCAAGTCCTCAATAAATGCACATTTAGTTATCTGCTGAAGCAGCAAGAAATGTATACTGACTACTGTCCCATTTGGGAAAGCAAATGTTTTCTCTTTGATTTTGATTTTGTATCTTTCAAGATTTCACAACAGGAATAATGAGTTGTTCTGTGTAAAGACAAGACATGTCAACAATGTCGAGTAAATCCCCTGGTAAAGATTATTTTTGTAGCAGCATAGAGGTGTGACCTTTATTCAGGGAATATCAGAGGAGATTTAAGGACTTTTCTAAATGAGTCGGCTTTGCTCAGGGTCAAGGAGGGCAGATGAGAAGACACAAGGCAAATCTATAAGACACTGTGTGTATGAGTTTGTGAATACACAAAAAAATATTTGTTTATTGTTCTGATGTTTATGTACAATGTTCTTTTTTGTACTAGTTTTTGCCTTTGTGTACGTGTTTCAGAAGTGAAAGGAAACTCGCAGTGGGAAAAATATAGTGACATCTTCAGTGACATTTAAGACTCCATAAGCAAACAGCTCCCATGAGTCTTAGGGAATGCCTTGGCGTTTGTTAGTTGAGATAAATAGCTGGTGTCCTCTTATATTACTGTTATTCCAATAAGATATTGTCTAAGAAAAGGGCAAACCAATAATAATATGTATTAAATCAAACTCCAAATGGAGAAACACTATAGAAAACAATATTGCATTCTTCTTTGTTGAAGTTGAGGAGCATTCCATGATCCTAATGCTCTACATAGATTAGATGTTTTCATGCTTGTCATAGAGCAGAGGCTTCTCCTTACACGTTTAAGTTAAGTGCTTCAAGTTATTCATCACTTATTTGACAAGTCTGTCAATTGCACTCCAGATTTTGCTTTATTATCCCTTTGAATTTTCCATCTCAGCCACAGGTGTTCAAAGCAAATTATAGATTGTTTTTGAATGTCGGGATTCTGAAGTTCTGTTGATAATAAAAAATAACGATATTATGATAAAGAAAAGTTGGAGGAGAAGATGTGAGAGAGAGAGATGGAATAATACGTCATAATTAATGCTTAAACCCATTGGTTGGCAGGGTTTGGTATTTAGCCAATAGTTTGAGAGCAGAGATATTTATATAGATATACTGTGAAATGTAATTCATACTGATGTTTAACTTCTTTGCTCTATTTTCATAGTTTATCCTCAGTGCTGGTATGTGTGTGGAGAGTGAATTAAGAAAAAGCC